GCGTGTGCACACGAGAGTGCTATATATAATAAATATGCAGCGGCATCAGCAGCAGCAGCCCACACACGCACTCCGTGATACGTACGTTAGTTTTTTTTTTTTTATTCGCGTTATTTTTATTTTTTCAGCGAATAATACGGGTGACGTCAGCTGCTGCTCGCGGTTCCGATTGCAGAGAAGAAGAATTTCGTGTGTGCGTCTTTGCGCGCTGACGAGTCGCATTTTTGTGCGTTATACTGTAATGACACACACGACGGACAAATTATCAAAGCCGGACGAAGAATCGCTATAACGAGTATAGCAGCAGCAGTTGAACCGTTGAAGTAGAAAGTAAAAAAAGAACTTCGAAAGGGAGGAAAATTTTGTGTGTGTGATCGTGCGAAGTAGAGAGAGAGAGAGATGTCGATATTCGTGCCCTGACAATGAGGTACTATATATAGGTACTGCTGAGTTGAAAGGGTCTCTCTCACGCGCGCGCGCGCGCACGATTCTCTATCTGTGCTGCGTGCAGACCATCGATTCCGAGCGGCGAGCTCCTTTTCTGATGATTTTCCTTACTTCGCGCAGCTACAATTGTCAAGCAGCGACTATTATGCTAGACTGCAACAACAAAGCATCTACATGCTTGTGTACAATATGATCTCACGTATTTAATCCTTGTGTATAAGTACGGAGCTGAAGTTCTCCGAAAGACTCCGTCGTGTCCAAGGATGAACGGCACGTGTCTGCGTTTTTTTTTACTTTTCTTTAGGTTTGAGAAATTAACATTTGGCAGAAAAATATAACCTTATCCAATTCAGGGCATGAGTCGATTGATGACCCAGCATATAGCAAACGCTCGTCTAATTTTCGAGCGAGTTTCGGTATCGCCACCTAGCGTGATAAATTGAAATAATTCCGACAAGTGCGTTTGTATACAGGAAATAGTAACTGTGCGTTCAATCTACGTTTCTGGTCCAAATACCGAGAGAAGTCGGTTCTACCGTGTTTGTGTGTTGTAGTAATTAGTATACAGTCAAAAGCATTAGAAGATAGACTCGTTACCATATTAGACGTACACGAGCAGGTGTACGAGTATCGCATTGGAACGAGTTGTCATTGCAGTATTGTTTGGAAAGACGCTTTTGATAAAAACCCTCGCTACAACAGCAAGCCACGCCTATAAAGCGGGTGTCTTAAAAAGCCATTTAAGGTCATTAACGGATGAGAATGTTATGCGTGCATTATACCCGCATCTCATTTGCGATGCTTTGCAGAAATTCTAGATCGCCACCTATAAATATAAGAAAAGTTCAAATTTTTGAATCGATGATGGATCGCGAACGATTTAATGGACTGTCAAGAAAATGACATCCATAGATTACTCTCAACCGTATTTCCATTATAATACAGGCATTTAGAGTTTGAAAAAGTAAATGCATCAACCATACACGAGCGCGTGTGTGTGTGGGTATGCCTATATATACGTGTGGACCGTGTGCAGTGATGTATCGAATGAGTGGCCCCGCCAACTTATACTATATACGTGCCACGCACGGGCGCGTCCGAGAACCCCCGCACACGACGACGACGTCGTGCGTTACATACACGCGTATATAGAAGCCCACGGGAGCTTGAAAGATATATATATGTATGCACGCGGGGGACGACGACGGCGACTATATTATACACGGACGACCATAACGCGCATATATAACCATGTAGCCTATATAGTATCGAGCGAGCGAGAAGGAAAGAAAGAAGGTGATGTTTTCGATAACACGATTGGCGCTGCCTGCCACTGACGACGACGACGACGACGACTACTCTCGTTTCTGCGTTTGGGGGCGACGTAACGACGACGACGACGACGACGACAAGAGCGTGGGTGAAGTCGCCCGGGAGATCCCACGAGAGGCAGCCAGCTTCCCACGTCGCTGAATATGTGTGTGTGCTCGGCGCACACCACTGCACAGTCACTGCCTCCGCTGCGATCGACCAAAACGCCAAAGCGGAGCGTAGGTCGTCGTCGACCTTATAGCGTATACCCGCCCGCCTTCTCTCTCGCTTCGTTTCATCTTCCTTCGTAATACTGAGCGCGTGGTGGTACATGGGCACAGGCACGAAGCAATTATCATACACGCGCGCGTATATAATATAACGCCGACGCTTACTTCTTTCTACTCGCGAAGGACGTCGAGCTCTCCTTTTTTTTTCTTCCTCGTGTTTACGTGCACAAAAAAATAAGTATTTTGATAAAAAATGAACAAAATAGCGACTCTTTTCGCTCGTCGAATCTATCCATCTATCTATATCTAATTTTGGCGAATTTGGGGCGCACCGATTCAACGGAAAAAAATTATCTGCGCGAGAGAGAGAGAGAGCGAGCCGCGCGATTCGGAAAAATCAGAAGCCTACATTTGGCACGAAACTTCTTTATCTTTGCGAGTGCGCGCGATATTTTCGAAACAAAAGAGATAGAGATGAATCGCGCGTTGGTGCGTGAGAGGAAGCAGGGCAACGTCGTGTGTGCTGCGGGGCTAGTGTCTAAAGCGTTCTACATATCCCCACGGACGAATATTTTTATCCGAAAAAAAAACGAGTATAGCGGCATTAAAATGTATGTATATAATATACATTACAATACGCATTTGCGTACGAGATAGCACGCAGGCACAGCTTCGACTGTATAAGTACAGCAACAGCAGCAGCACGCTCGAAAGAGATGACGATGACGCCGCCGTCTTTTAAATGCCCTTTAAACGAGCTTCGGAGTCGTCGAAGCGCACACTGCCCTCGCGGAGAGTACGAACAGAGAGAGAGAAAGAGAGAGAGAGAGAGACTGTGTTTGCCTCTCCCTCTTTTAGGATCACTCTCCCCGCGCGCGGCTCGCTCGACTCGCTGTGCTCTCGCAACACACAACCCGCCGCCCGCTCGACTCCGTTCTCTTTCTCTCTCTCTCTCTCTCTCTCTTCCGCCCCTCGGATATATACGCAGGCACCAGCAGCACATAGAACGAGAGAGAAAGATAGATATATAGGCAGCAGCAGCAGAGCCTGGCTGGATGGCTGACTGTCTGCGGCTTCCCCTTCGACGAATGCTTATTTTTCCGCATTGTTCTCTTTTTTTTGTGCGCGCGCTTGCGAGCCTCGAGTTCCTTCAACTCGATACGTGCAGCAACAGCAGCAGCAGCAACGCGTCGTCGTCGTCGCCTCCTATATACATGCGATAATATATACACACACACATGTGTATACAATATACGTGCGCGAGTGTGTATATAATAAGCTCCGTGTGCACACGAGCTTCGAGCCAGTACATAGTTTGCATACAGATATACATATAATACGTATAGTATATATACGCGCGGATGACGACGATGCGACGATGGTGGTGAGAAGGAGGAGGAGAAGCAGAGGGGCCAGACGGGGCTATCCCTCTTCTATGTATATAAAATATATAAAAAGGCGTCTGTGTGCGTACGTACGAAGCGATAAAGAGATATATATATAAAGTGATTGACTGCACACGAGAGAGGAGCGAGTACGAGAGGCAGCGCGAGCGCTTGAGAGGGTGGGTGGGCGAATGAACAATAACAGCTGACGCATCGCGCGATGACGGGAAGCTTTTGCTCGTGTACTATAACGCGTGCGCTGCTCTTGATTATATACGTCGAGCTGGCAGCATATATATACATAGCAGTAGCAGCGACGCGCGCACTGCACACATATGCACACATGGATCAAGAAGTATAGAAGAGTTAAAGACATTAGGAACGATGTACGTCCATGCGTGAGTTATAATGAAAAAATTTGCAGAGCTGAGAGCGATGCGCCGAGAGCGCGCGTAACCACTCGATTTTAAAATTCGTGCGGGAAAAGAGAGCGCGAGATACGTACGCATGGTATAAATATGCGTTGAGGAGCTGCTGCTGCTGCTGTGTGCAGAAAGCATCGGCAGCAGCAGTGGCAGCAGCGCAAAGTCTCTGACTCGGTATTTTTGGATCTCTCTCTCTCTCTCTCTCTCTCTCTCTCTCTCTCTCTTGACCGACCCACCACGGCAGCAGTAGCAGTAGCAAGTCGACGCAAAAAGCCAAAGAGGCGCTCCGATAAAGTTTTTCAAGCGCAGATATCGGAGCAGATGTATGCATACACAGATATATATATAGTGTGTATATATAAGTTGCCCGACTTTCGCGTGAATATTACAACTTTACCGGGTCCCGATTTATGCGCGTATATAATTTTACGCGATGGCGATAAACAGCGGTGGCAGAAGCATATTGACCCACAGGACCGCTCGCGCGCACGCAGATAAAGAGACAGATAGATTCTTCGCGGAGATAATGGGTATATATATATCGCGCGAGTTTTAACGTGGTATACGATTTCATCCATGTATGTATATAGCGAAAAATGAAAAATGTATGTATGTATATTCGCTCTCCGCAACGCGCACGTATAAATATAATCTTATCGTGCTCGACTCTCGCTCTCTTTCCCCTCTCCTTTTTTTCGTAAGCGAAGCGCGCGTAGTAGTCGGCGAAAACTCGACCAACCGACTGATTACTTATTTGCTGCCGATTAGGTGGAATAAATGCCGCGCGCGCGAACATCGTGTGCTGCGCTGCTGTGTGCCTGCCTGCGACTGGCTGCTTGACTCTGGCGTGTCGTGAGAGTTTTTCGCCTTTATACGTGTGCCTGTGTGTGTGTGTGCGTGTGCGTGTGCTATTGTAATGCGCGCGGCAAGGGCAAAGAAATATCCGGCTCTAAGCGCTGCGGCGCAGCAAAAAATAAGAAAGAAAATGAAAAAAAAAAACGATAAGTATTATCACTACCTCGATGTGTGTACGCGTTATTATATATTACTACTGCGATCGAAAAATGAAACAAAAGCTGCAGGGGTAACAAAAGCGATCTCGGGATAATATTTTGGATGTTGTTGTTATATATAAATGGAGCACGTCGAAGAAAAAGAATAAACAATAAACACAACAACAACGACGACGATAATAAACATACCTCTCGCGATGCAGCAGACATATGCGCTCCTTGGCGACCTTGAGCTTCTTCGAGATGATCTTTTTGAGACTCTCGATGCTCTCGCGCTTGTCGACCACCAGGTCGAACTGGCCGCCCGTCGTCGGGGTTATGCTGATGGTTATGTTCGGATCGGTCGGCATGACGCTGCCACTGTTCGAGGGCGTTGCCGCGGCAGCAGTCACTGCGTTGAGGCTGCTTCTGGCGGCAGCGGCCAAGAGGCAGCCACACCCCGCGTGGCTCGACGACGACGACGACGAGGCGCCGATGTGGCCGATGCTTCCGCTAGAAGTCGAGGAGACTCCGCTCTTGGACGACGCCAACGACGAGGTTGCAGCGGTCGTCGCTGAGCCAACACCACCACCACCACCACCACCGACGCCACCGACAACACCGTGGCTGGTAGTGGCGGTAGTATTGTTACTGTTACCGCTGCTGGCACTGGTGCCGCTGCTGCTAGCACCACCGCTGCTGCTATTGCCGGTCGCGCTAGTCGAGGATGTCGTAGTTTCTCCTCGCACACCCCCCTCGGGAGCGCGCGGATTACCCTCGCTCATTATACTCCTCTTTCTCACGGGTGTGTTAGCGTTGCACTACTACTGGATTACAACAACAAATAACGAACCAAATCGGATCTTGATTATTTCACTTTTTATTATTGAATTCACTCACGCATATAGAAACACTATTGAACTACACACTTATCCAAAGAATCTCTCGAAATTCTTGTTTCTCTCTGCGCTCGCTAACCAACGAACGTTATTTTCATTTTTTTTTTCTTCGTTGCTGTTGCTAACACGATGCGATTTTTCGCACGCACGGGCTGCTGCACTGGTTTCGAACACACACACACACAACACTGCGATATTATACACTGGTAGAGCGCGTCTCTCTCTCTCTCGTATCGCGTTCTCTCCTTCGCGCGTCGAGCTGCTACTACTACTAGGCAACGGCTATATTATACTAGCTGCTGCTATTATCATAATATAACGAAGCAGCAGTAGATGGGAACGGCCGCGGCGGGGGCCACACACTCAACGTATAAGCAAGAGTGCGGTGGCCGACTAAAAAAGATTTTTTTTTTCTCGTTAATTACGAAAAAATCGCAATTTTCCGATTGCGCCACATATCGATACGTTATACGTAAAAAATAATCTAAGGCTGCTCGGCTCTCGCTCTCGATACGACGCGCGTGCTTGTATTATAGCGGCGTTATTATTCGCGATTTCCCACGGGCGCGCACAAGAGCGTCTAATACACGCACTCGCGTTCACTGAACAACATATATACGCACTCGCAGACGCGACAGAACGGACGGGAGACGACGACGCGCGTTTTACCGAAATTCTTCTTTTGCTTTGCTGCCTATATAACAATGTTCCTCCTCTCCGCCGCGCTGCGAATGCTATGTATACGCTAATATACGCTGTGTGCAGTATCCACTGTGCATATGTGTGATACGCGCGTGGATAACCGAGCGCCGTCGTTGCTCACGATCAACTGAAATGCCCGCTGCTGCTTGGCTGGTGCACCTGTCCCGTCGCCGTTGCCGCCGCCGCCGCCGCCGCCGCCGCGACGACTCTACGACTGTAATGCGTGACGAGCCCCTCTCTTTTTGCGTGCCTTTGCGCGCTGCTGTACGTATACAATACCAGTTTGCGGCGCGCGATCGCTCGACGCTCGCGGCACAGCAGCAGTCCTCTCCTCTCTTTGCGAACGCGCCTACATATATAGCTATGTATATATATATCGGACTTTTCTCTCCCTTACTCTTTTGCTTCAGCCTGTGTGTGCCTCGGCTCGGCTCGGCGCTCGGCGCAGCACCGAACGGAGAGCCAAACACGCGCGCTCGTGTATGTATACACACGCAGAGAGACAGCAGCAGCAGCAGCAGTTGTGTTGCGTATGTATATGTATGCACACACGTTTTTGCCAGTGAGCGAGTGAGTGAGAGAGACGCGCGCACTGCTACCTATATGTATAGCAGGGTCTGCTTGTTGTTGTTATGTTATATATATGCAGTACACACCAATTGTGTACCGAGACGTCTGTGCGAATATTATTGTCCTATGGATGATATGCGTGTGCACGCAGACCACCGCCTGCGCGCTGCTGCTTATAGGGCGAGAATCCGGCCTGGCTGTGCTGCCGTATTATACACAAGTATTAAGGGATCGATCGCCCCTATGTAGTGTAGCTGCTCCCTGGCCCGCACGCCTATGTTGTTGAAATATATACAACTGCCGCGCACTCCTCTCTGTACGAAAAACTAGCTGTATAGAGCTATAGTGCCGCGAATGAGCGCGTGAAAATTGCCGTTGGGTCGGAACACGCTTATTCGCACGAAAATGTATTCGTTGTTAATGCACAGACAGACGGACGCTCGCGATTTGCATTCGATTTTTATGCTATGCGTCCGAGAGACGCCCAGCGCGAAAGCCAAAGAGCCGTTATATTTTTAGGCTACTTCGCTACTTTTTTTTTTACCAACGCACGCTGCTCCGCCTTTATGTTTGTGAATAGCTGACTCTTTGTATATCTCGCGAAATTTATGCAGATTGTGATAAATTTGCACGATCTTAGACCAAAAATACGAGATCGATGCGACTCCTTTTTTTTCTATGTAACGTTCGAACGCGAGTTATCTAGAACTCCGAATTTGAATTTGGTCAAGGGTTTCTTAAACTCCATTAGCGAAACGATTGCCTCGAATCGCGGTATTATCGATACACGCCGATTACAAATTTAAAATTTCTTATTATTTATTTAGTTTTCAAGTTCGTACGATGTTTAAAGTATATTTAACTTATCACTACTGTACTTTTTACAATGTAAACGCGGCCGCGCTCCTACTGCGGCGAACCGCCTGACCCGACTGTAGCAGCAGCAAACTCGAGGCTCCCCGCAGTATCTCGTCGCTGCATGCCGCCGCCAGTTTGCAAATCGCAGTGCGCCGATCTCTCGCGCGTTCTCTGTTATACGTATATGCCATGCACATATGTGTGCTGGCTGTGTGTTCAATTCCCCACCCAAACGCCGCCTTTCCGCCGAACCATGTATGTGTGCGTGCGGATCACCCCCGAGTAGCCTCTTTCTCTTATAGCTGCACTTATGGTGTATTAGGAGTGATTATTACGACGATTATCATTAGTAAATATTTCGCGCTAAAGCTCGGCATTCAGATGATTACTCGCATCGCTACTAAATAAATTATAATTTATTTTTTTTCCAGCTTTTGGAATTGATTACAGGGAAACGAAGTGATGCAGCACAGTTCGATTAAATACGGCATATAAATTCTTTTATTGTCCAGCAATCCCCTCTAAAAAAAAAGATTTAAAAAAAAAAACACAAACTTCAACATTACAGAATTATTGCTCGTGTATTTACAATGTGATCTACACATAACGATTATTATTATCGCGCGCACAATCATCATATAAATGCGAATTGTTTTACACACTCGTTGAAAGTAGTAGATGCAATAAAATTTATGTAGATACATACTTTGATCGATTGGATTTTTTTGGAGTCGTGTTTCACAATTTGCGAGACTTTTTTTCATTCGCTTTTCTTGAATATATAACAAAAATCATTTCGATGTTTTTTTTTAAAGCTACCGTAGTATAATCATTGCACATTGTCACAAAATAATCATTGTTCTCATTTAAACAGCTTTCGTTTTTGAGCTTCGCTTTTTATCCACTCAACACAGAAAAACCATCAATTATATCGTCGGGAAAGAGAAAATTTTTATGTACAATTTTTTATTGTCGTTAATTAAAAAAGAGGAATGTGATCGCGAGTTTTTTTATTAAATAATAAATATTCCCTACTGCCTTACACCAATCGTATATAAATTAACAGCTAGAGTTTTTTTTTACCATTATAAAAATGATGGGCTAAACTTTGAATGCTTGTTTTTTTTTGTAAAAAGGGCCAATAAAAATTACATATAAAACGTCATTATAAAAATACATAGTTCATGTCTCCTGGACTTTTTAAAAAAAAAATTAATAGCATTAATATTAAAATCTCCTTTACCTATAGATCATTCAAAAGTTCCACAACCAGGTGTAAAAGATTTCAATACTTATAATTACAAATTAGCATATTGGGCATCATTACGTTTCAGAGCCATATCATTGACTTGAAACACATTTTGTTGGTGCTTGTGACAAGCAGTTGAACATTCATGATCCAAATTCTTCCGTATCCGGCTCGATTGGCTTGAATTCATAAGATCCTCTTCCATCCATCAGTAAATAGTACTAAAAATAATAAATTTTTGAGTATTTTTTTTCTATTTTGTCGATTACGAAAATTATAATTTCAATTACCTCGTGATGTTTCCACAATGATCTTCTGTGAGATACTGTAAATAAAGTTATGTTTGCTTTTTTGCAATAAGAATACATGGAGTCTTCAACATCTACACTAACAGCACTTGTGCATTCGTCAAGTATAGCGAATTGTGGCTTATGATAAAATAATCGAGCCATCTGCAATGAATATAATATTTGTTACGATATCTGTATTTGTAAATCTAAGATAAATGCAGACATTAAACAATTACCGCGATACGTTGTTTTTCTCCTCCAGACAAAACATCCATCCAATCGGCTACTGTATCCCATCCTTGACCTTCACTTCCTGGCTGAGATTCTCTCTCCAGTAAATGTCCCAATTGCACCAAATCCAAGTATTTTTGTAAATCTTCATCTTTGGCGTTTCCGCGTCTTAACATCTCGGCTCGAGTGTGAGGATAAATAACTTGATCCCTCAGTGTACCCAGAGTCATGTAAGGCCTTTGAGGAATATAGAAGAGCTTTCCTTTTGGTGGCTTGGTCATTACTCCGCCCCAAAGTGGCCACAGCTAAAATAAATTATTAGAATTATTGTATGATGGTATTTAGAAAAGAAAATTTGAAAAATATTTGCACTGACCTCGCCCAAAACTCGGAAAAGAGAACTCTTGCCGCATCCATTAGGTCCACATACTAAAACATTGATACCCGATTTTACTTCAAATGTGAGCTCTTTGATCAGAACATCTCCATTTGGCGTAATTAATGGAACGCGATCGAAACGAATGATATTGTCTTTAGCTAGAATTTTTCCAGCTCCAGGTGATCCAATAGGATTATTTTTTGGATCAATGATCATCGTTCGTTCATATTTGTTTTCGTTTAATTCGGCCAAAACTTTTCTGATTTCCGTGACTCTTGCTGTAAAACCTGCTAATCTTGTCATTTCTCTTCCAGCAAGAACTAATCTACCAATAGCTTCTGCTAATTTTAATAACATTCTACCGTACGTATAGTAACATTTGAATCTGTGATCAGGGCTTCCAGATAAAATTGGATGATTTTTCTTGAAAAATGGAATACTAACAGCATAAAATCCAACAACAGTTGCAATGTCTGTAATTAATAAAATGAGCTTTAAAATTACTTCAATAATCATAAATAATAAAAATAATAAATATCATTACATTTTCCTATAAAATTATCTACAACTCCAATAGCCACCTTGAATTCCAAGAATTTTCTAAGATGTGTTACCTATTTCACATAAAAATTTTTATCTTAAATTCAATACTTCAAATCCGTGCATTTTTATCATAAAAATTGTTAATATAACTCACAAGTTTATGGAAACTAGCTAACATTGTCAATTTTTCTCGTGTATTTCCTTGATAGAAAGCAATTTCTTCAGAATTGGTAATCAATCGAGATTGAATATGTCTATATTCTCCTTCTAATCTTTGCTCTTTGACAGTCAAATTTCCAATAGGTTTTCTCAAATGAGTCAAAAAACCACCAGCAACCACCAAGTATGATAACATTATCACTGGAGTCTATAAAAAAATTGTTATTAATGTACAATTCAATAAGATAGTGTAGCTTTTATGTATTGCAATGATAACTAACTGTGCCACCAATTGCAGATGTTAGTCTATAAATATAAATCATCATATCTAGCATAGGCTTTGCAATGTTGCTGTACAAATCTGTGCAACTTTCACAGAACTTATCCACATCAGTAACCAATAATTGATCAGGATTAGCAATTCTTGAGTCCAAATTACTCATTTTGTAATAGGTAAAGCCCCTGAAACAATATTATAAGAATTTATAACAAATAAATAAAAATATGTAAGCAAACATTTTTTTATGTGTTTGTATGGTAAACATTTTTGACCTTTGATCTTGATTGTACATAGTAACAGGGACTGATTATAACTTAAACGTGATTACGAAATTGATTCTCTCATTAATATTCAAAAGGTCAAAGCTGTTCTCTTGACGGGTTAAATTTTTTCCCATTACATTTTAAGTTTAAAAAGTGAAGTGAAACTTACTTCAAGTATTGATCTATAAGATGACGGCTAATGTTAGTTCTAAGCCTTAGTTTCATTTCACCAATTCCATACTTTAAAATATTATTTACAACAGATATCTGAAAAAAAAGAAAGTATGAAGATCTGAAAGTATTAGAATTTTTCAATGCATTAAATCCAAATGTATATTTACCACAGGCAATGTTGCTACAAATCTCAAAAGTCGTTTTTTGAATAAAGCAGAATCCATGTTGACTATGGAGCTGAAATTTCAAAGGAATCTATTAAAGTAATGAGTTACATCAATTTCCAATAAAAAAGAGTACAGTATACTAACGTTTCAATAAGTGTGCTTGTATGAATAAGGTAAAGATCGCAGAGCGATCTGCCAACCAGTGACAATGCAATAAGCAAGGCATATCCAGCTTCAACCGTAAAAACACCGGGTATACCAATCGCCAACAATTGTCGAAGCTGCCTGAAAAACTCCTTGTTGACATGAGCCTTAGGTTGTTTTGGTTTTTCCTGTAGACAATCAAGAATAAACTATCAATTAAACGAGAAATAATTTTCGTCATCTTGAAAGCCAGTTGTGATAACTATTTATTTCTCGTAATGATAATCGTTGAAAAATCGTTGACAATTTTTTTAAAGATGTCACATTAGCATGCACGTATGTATAGTTGCATGTCGCTGCACATGCAATAATCGGCCAGCACTCAGCGCCGCGCGTGTACATGTACAGCAGAGCACATAGACGCACGCAATACATACACATACATACATATACAGACACGCAGCAGCGATGAAATGTCAAAAATAGACGTCAACTTCTCGCGCGAGTTTCTCGACAGGATTTATTATTTAATCGCGCAATTGTAGGATCATCACGAGTCGTTCTCTTACCTCCTTGATGACGTACTGGACATCGTTGTTGGGTGGCCACTGGCTCCTAGAAAAGCCAGAAAAATCGGTTATAAACGGAGTCACAATCAACACCACACAATCGTCGAGCGCGAACCGAGCGCAGTGATACTATCATCGTACATAAGCAAGCTACAAACGCACGGACACGATACGCGCTCATATACGTGTGCGCGAGGCTAGAGCATGGGATGTTGCGCGCGTATCATATACATGTGTAGCATAATCACACGAGAGAGTGACTGCGTGAAAATGGCAAGATCGTTCGTCGTCGCGGATGATGACAAATGGCACGTATCGATAGACGAGCGAGCATACGCGCATAATAGCCTGCTAATGGACGATAAGATTCGCTCGGTTTCGAGAATCATCGTTGTCTTATATGCATGGCGATGATCATCATCATCGACAACAACTCACTTGGGCTTGACGTTGTAATAATTGTGTCGCTTGCCGCGGCGACGTTTGAGAATGTAGAGCAGCGCGGCTACCGCGGCGGCCGAGGCGACGCTCTTCCTCGTCACGAGCTTGCTCAGATTCGGTGCCATCGTTGTCGTCCTTGCTATCGTTATCGTCGACTTGTTGATATCTCTCCTCGGGTTGTTGTCGTTGTTATTCGCACGCCCGCGGCTGGTGTGACAGACGGCAATTATTATACGCGACTGCTGCAACTCGTTGCGCACAGCACGGTATACACGCGGAGGAGGGGAACTTTTTGGTCTCGCAGCAGCGGTTCCACTGCAGCAGCTAAAGCAGCGGCAGGCCTCTGACTGTGTTGGAGCGAGTCGAGACTGCTGCTCTGCTCGTGGTAATTGTCCGCGATTATTAGCCGCAGCGCGACGCCTCGGTCGGTCGTTGTGTTTTTCTCCCTCTCTTCGTCGATCGTGCATTTTGCATCCTGAATTTCGAAACGCAACTTTGAATTGCTTAATTTTAAATTGTTTCACTATTATTATGGTTTGAATGAGAGAAAGATGAGTTGAGTGAATGTACAAATTAGGACATTTTACACCGCTACGACTTTTTGGATGCTTCAAACCTTTAGAATTCGGGTAGTGCATTTAAATTTTTACGAACGATGAACCCATATACTTGTTCTATTTAATTTTATAATCGTATGAAATTAAAGTGAAGAAAATCGTGAGACAATGAGTATGAATTTTGTTGACACTTATGTTGATCATTGTTATTTTGTAAGGATCCCGTTTATCTTATCAATAATTAATATGCAACGATTAGATTATCGGAGAAAGTCGGACGTGGTGTTAAATTTTAATCAACAAAGAACTGAATACTTTTTTGCGTGTAACAGACAAGATGACGACTTTTTGAAATAAAGCGATTTTTAATTGCTTGGATGAATTGATTAACATCGTAAAAAATCTTATGCACTTTTTAAAGATAAATGAAGTTCACGAAAACCCCAACAGATGGCTTTGACGCGCGATACTACCGCGCGAATTTATTTGCCACCAGTCGGTCGGTGCGCCAAGAAAGGAGTCGCACGGGTCGCGCGAACTTAACCTCGTCGCGAATACTCGGTAATGGCATTTATAGCTATAATTCTCGAGAACTACGCGATGTCGTAATCTGATTTTTTTTTCGCACACAAACACACTCGCGCGCGCCGTGTGTCTATTCGTGTGATCCGGTCTTTCGTATACATCACGTCGCGCAGCGTTATCTACCTCGCATAGGTATATCGAATAACTCGTAAATTTGCGTGCTGCTGCACTGCGCCGCGGCGTGGGGATTCATATTCTCGATGTTTGCGACCGCGCAGAAGAAGTCTCTCGAGCAGGAAAACGCCAACGTTTGACAGCTGCAGACGCTGCCTGCAGCAGTTGCGCTCGCTCGCTCGTGGTGGTGTCCATAAAAAGTTCAAAGGTAATATAATGGTGCTAATGTATCGAGTATACTTGCCGTAAGATCGATATCGATATCTATTTACTGCAAACGAGCCATTTTGTGTCTGTATGTGTGTGTGTGTGTATCTTGTCTGCAACGCATGATTTTGTAAACACATCGCGTTGAAAGGTGACCTCGAATTACGCGTGTACTGTGTAGTGTACACGCCGATCGACTTCATACCTATTAATGCATATCTAATTAAAGCCCGTGACGCGACTCTTTTCTAGTGTATATTGGCGAGTGTTAATAATAAATGCGAGTTTTGTTTCCTTTGTGCATGTACAGTGGCCAACTATATATCTCTGAGTGCACGACAAAATTGAGGCGTTCATTCTATCGAATCTGCCCTCGGGTGTGAAAGCCTGGCTCTTTGGCCGGAGCTTCGCTCGCTGGGCCCTCGCTGCAGGCCCCGAGTGCAGCGGTGGCATCGGCGAGATGTCGATTAGGTCGGCGGTCCAGCGAATTCTGCACGATGGTCGGCTCGTTCTGCGCTCACTCAGAAATCCAGAGCGTTCTTTCAACCCGGCCAGAGCCCACATCAACAAAATACACGTTGTACGAGTAGGCAAGTGCATCTAATTCATTGCTCATTATTACATTAAAGGCTTCTACTACAATGCTGAATTGTTTGTCTCTCCATAGGTGAGCAGTCCCAGGGCCATGTACCCGGAGGCACTGCAACGGCAGCCTCTGCAGCAACAGCTCAAGGGCCCCTTGGCTACCTGGGAGCTCAAGCACGGCGTCTATTCGTAGATAGTATATTGAACAGAGTCACCAATTCATTGGCAGCAGACCTAAGCAGACGCGCTGCAACTAGACTGCTGTTCAGAGGCGACTCTGCTCCATTTTTTGCATTGGTAGGCATTTCCTTGGCATCCGGCACAGGTATTCTTACGAAAGAGGATGAGCTCGAAGGAGTTTGCTGGGAAATACGAGAGGCTGTCATGAAAATGAAGTGGAACAAGCCCACGAATGATAACAATTATGAAAATACAACTGGGAACAATGGCCAGATTACATTGAAGAACTTTGTTGTTGGACCTCTGATAGCAAAAGGTGCCAACGCAGTGGTATATGCAGCACGCTTAAAAAATGAAAATGAAATAGCCATTGAAGAAGATTTAACGATTGATAACTCAAATGGTGTATCATCATTTCCTTTGGCTATGAAAATGATGTTCAATTACGATGCTGAATCCAATGCCGCCAGAATTTATGATGCGATGCAGAGGGAAATTGTTCCTGTGTGGAAAGATTATAAGAACGAATCATTATTTCAAGGAGAACAAATTTTATCTGAAAACATGGCTACCTTACCACCTCATGTAAATATTGTGGCGATGTATTCAGTATTTGCTGACAGGATTCCATTTTTACCACATGCTACAACTTTATACCCAGATGCTTTACCAACTAGATTAAATCCTGAAGGTTCTGGGAGGAATATGAGTCTATTTTTGTTGATGAAAAGGTAAAAATTGTTAAAAGTTGTTTTACATAAGTGACACTTAATCTAATACTAAATATGACTTTCTTATTTTTCAGATATGATCTATCATTAAAAGAATATCTATCTAAGACTCCTAGTCCTCGAGAATCTGTACTTTTATTTGCTCAGCTACTGGAAGGAGTTGCTCACATGAACTGTCATGGTATTGCTCACAGGGATCTAAAATCTGACAATATTCTTCTTGATATTTCGGAGGAGTCAGACAACTGCCCAACATTGGTAATAACCGACTTTGGATGCTGTTCAGCCTCAAAAAGTCATGGTCTTTATATACCATATCATTATTCTGAAATGGATAGAGGAGGAAACGTTGCACTCATGGCACCAGAAATTCGAACAGCGAAAGCAGGGCCTTTTACTAGTCTTAATTACACCAAGTCTGATCTTTGGGCTGTAGGTACTATAGCATACGAAATTTTTGGTATGCAAAATCCATTTCTTGGAACTAGAACGGAAAAAGCATTGTTGAGTAGTGCAGATTACAAAGAAGAGGATTTACCATCTCTGCCAGATTCCGTTCCTAACATAATTGCATGCCTGATAAAAGATATTTTGATACGTAATCCTTATAAGGTATTTAAAAACTCTAAATATGAATTCTTTTAACTTAAATGTTAACTCGTTATTTTAATGTAATAATTTATCCTTTTAGCGGCCAACCATTGGGGTAGTATCAACGATAATGCAATTATACTTGTGGGCGCCTAGTGCATGGTTACAAAAAGAAAAGAAAATTCCATCAAGTAGCGAGGTAAAATGGTTGTTTATATTAGTAATAAAATTCACATTAAGTTGAAAAAATTTTCATCAACTTTATATTTATTTCTTAGATCTTACAGTGGCTTTTGTGTTTAACTACAAAAGTACTGTGCGAAGGTCGAAATGATTCTTTGGAAGAGCGTACCAATGAAAGTTCAAGTAAGAGCGAAGGTGCGACATTGCCGAAAACTCTTCAACGTTCTCTTTCTACTCGGTCCTGTGGACGTCGGACAATGCCGGAATATCAGCTTATTGCAAGTTTCCTGGGGAGAGTGAGTCTCATTAACATCCGTGATGCGCTTAAATGGATTCAGATCAACAACTGAACTTGAAAAAAATCGATTGTTATCACAGCCTTAATTATTGTTTGTTAAAAGGCTCATACGAACGAAACTTAAATTTGTTTACGACTGTTTATAATGTATGCGTCAATTAGTATTCGTTAATGATTGTCGAAAATTAATTTGTCTCATCAACTTTTTTAGTCATTTTAAGCTTTATTTTTGATACTTAAAGGAAGCACAAAAGAGAGATAATCGGTTAAAAAAAATTTTTTTAAAGCGGGAAATCGAAATTACACACGACAAAGCATGTTGACTCTTTTGTGATTCAAGTGCCTTGAGATCTAATAACGAGATTCGTTAATAAAAATTGTTATAAAAAATTGTTTCTATCTGTTGAATAATCATTTTTGTATCTTTTATTTATTATTGTGTAAAAAAGTCAATTTCATCGATGGAAAGCGAATTTTAAAAATTGTCAAATTTAATTCTTAGTTTAGTTAATACTAATAATATACTATTAATGTCTAGGTCTTATTTATTATCGAATAGTAATATCAATTACTATTACGCGAAATTTTGAGGAAAATCATTTGTGAACATGTACATAGCATGTTGGATTCTTTCGAAGAGAGTAAAACACGATTGTCAATCGAAAGAAATAAACGAATAAAAAAAAAGATTTAAATAACGTTATAAATCACGAGTACGTTTGCTTGAATCCCACGATCATTCGTTCGAGGCCTCCTCATTCTCGTTGGCATCCGGGGGCTGCGGCAGCGGGCAGCACTGCATCTTGTGCCTCATCTCGTCCAGATTCAAATTTCGCAAATTGGCCAGGTCCTGGAGGTAGCGCTGGTACTCGTCCCAGTCGAGGGCCCGCTTGCGAAACTTGAAGAAACAGGTGCCAGTGTCAGTGGTCGTGAGCCTCTTCATGTCCAGTATCTCGGCGTCCTTCAGCCACTGGTCGCTCTGCGACAGGGGCAGCTGCTGGATCGATCCTTTTTTCCGACGATTCACCGGGTCCATTCGACAATAGGCTGTTCGGACGTTGGTATATGAGAAATTTGTTCGACGGTCGAGAGTATCTTAACTTGTTTTTTTTTTTTTTTTACCAAAAAACAGTACTTCCAAAGGGATGAGCTCTTGCTCGCCATCGTTTTTGTAATGATAACCATTGCCGATATCCATTTGAAGGCTTTGCTGAATTGTGAAGTTAGCGACTTGATAGCAATCTGAGATAAATAAATATTTTGGTAACATTGGTAATTCAATCGAATCATATATAATGCATAGAAAATTGAAAAAAGTAATTTTTTTTCAAGTGTCTACAGGAATATAAATTTTTTAAAAGTTTTTTATGTTATTTCAGTTATAGTTTGAGTTTAGTTTTTTAAGTTATTCTCATTGAGGCCAACATTGAAGAGAGCGATAAATTATTCGTTGGTAAGATTCAATGAATTAAACTGTAGGATTCGTATAACTAATGTAGTTCATATTTTCACAGGTTCTCTGACCCATCTTAGTTCATTTCTGGCGTATGTCAAAAATAGTGATAATGGTGCTGATCAGTTTGGGAGTTATGAAAAAAAAAATTTGTTTTCGGTGTATAATTAGAGCTCACCCTGGCAGTCGAGCTCTGTGAGCGACCTCTATCAGTTCTATCGTACTCAGGGACATGTTCGCGCGGCAAACTGCTCGTACGCCTCGAATCGACGACGACAAAATCGAGCCACTTGCAACGTCGCTCCGCCCATCGCTTCTCGATCTCGATATTCTACGAGAACTCAAATTCTTTCCCTTTCCCCCATGGTCTAAATTTTAACGGTTTGGTACGTTAAAATAATATGAATGATGATTACAGAGGATACGTGTCATTTTTTCGGACGTTGCTCGCAACGAACGATGCAATACCGATCGTGCGCGTGTACTGCTATCGATACACCAACGCATCAATTTTTTACCAGACATTAACGAAACTAATCAACGCATGAATTTCATATTCAAAAGCAGAAATCAAAAACCCCCGTACGATCGACGTTCACATACAAACACACACTCGGTGATGTTAGCCCCTCTCTCGCCGCAAGTCTCGCGAGCTCAACAGCACGGCTCACCGAGACAGACATCCGACTCGTCACTCACGCTCAGACTAGCGACAGCAACGGTCCCCACCTGCTGAAACCAAATCAACGCAAATCGACGCACACGCGTACTCATCCAGTTTACTCAAATTTGTCATTTTTTTGTTCGAACAAGATGGTTCACCAAACTGCCTGCGCCAAGATCGTGGACGAGGAAGCGGACGAGTCCCCGCGCGAGCTCGCCAACCAGCAGCGGCTGGAAGCGCAGGAAATCGATTCCGCCGAAGGCTCCAACAACATCGTCGGGGACGCAGACATCACCGGCATCGGCGGCGTCCATCGCTCCAAGCAGGCCGGCGCGGCTCCGACGACACAGCAGCAGCAGCGGAGCGACACCCTCCCCAGGATCAGCAACGTCGTGCCGGAGCTCGACCTGGTGAACGCCCGCGACCATCAGGGCCGCAGCCCGCTCTACCTGGCTGCGCAGTCGCGCGACCTCGACAACGTCCGTCTGCTGCTGGAGCACGGCGCCGACCCCAAGATCCGCACGGCCGACGGCAGCTCTGTGCTGCTGGGCGTCTTCGACGAGTCGCTCCTCGACTCGATCCAGCAAAAGGAGGGCAAGGACGAGGCCTGCCGGCGTGTGCTGCTACAACTGCTGGACGCCGGGGCGCCGATGAACAGCGTCGACTCGCGAGGCCGCAACGTCCTCCATCTGGCCGCCGAGCTGAAACTCGAGGAGAGCCTCAAGCTGCTGCTCGACCGACGCGGCTCCGAGCTCGACCTCGAGGCCAAGGACCACGAGGGTCGTACTGCACTGCACGTCGCCGCCCAGACCCGCAACAAGAACATCGTCGATCTGCTGCTCGCCGCGGGGGCCAACGTCGAGAGCTACACGCACGAGCACAAGTCGGTCCTGCACTCGCTGCTCGACGAGAGCATCGAGAGGCCCGAGGAGAAGGAGGAGGTCAACGGGATCTTCGACAAGCTCGTGAAGGCGGGCGCTCAGGTCACCGCCCTGGACAAGCGCCGCCAGAGTCTGCTGCATCTGGCCGCGGAGCACGACTGCAAGGACATCTTCCAGAAGCTGCTGCCCGAGTTCGCCGACTACAGCGGCATCACCACCTGGGGCTGTACGGCCATCCACACGCTGCTCTGCAGCATCGACGAGAACGACGGCGAGGGCAAGCGATCCAAGGAGGAGCTCGACCATTGCTCGACGACGGCGCTCGACGGTGACGACGACGACGATGTCACCCCCCCAGCAGCGGCAGCCGACGACAAGAAGAAAATCGAGCCCAAGAGCTACGACGAGCTGCTCAAGGACGTCTTCGAGAAGGACCAGAGGGTCGCCTTCGTCAAGGACGACGAGGGTCGACTGCCGATACACCTCGCGGCCAAGTACAAGCACCCCAAGACCCTGGAGCTCATCTTGAAAAATTACGCCAAGGAGCAGACGACGAGTAGCGAGCAGCAGCCAACATCGCCGTCTAAGCAATGAGTCTCGTGTTTCTGTTAATATTAAGTACGTGTCCATACACACGCGTCCATGTAAATCTTGTATAAACTATTATTATTGTCACGAAGCTTTATCGTATTGACTGAGAAACAATGTTTACCACTTAAACTTGTAGATAATTTTCTAAATTAGCGCGCATGTAAATATCGATCGTTTTAATGTACATAGACAAATGCCGTTGGCTATTTTTCGACGCTTAATCATTTAAATAAATCGATTCTATTTACAACATGAAAATTATGACTCGTTATTGGATGAAAAGTAATATAACTATATCTCTCCTTGCTGTACGCATGTACATGTTGAAGTAAATTTACAATCAAAAACAAAGAAACTTTAACAATAGCCGACGAGCTTATTTCACAACCATAACACGAGGTACTTGTTGATATCGCGCGACATCGCGTGAGAAGAAGACAAACGAGTTGGTCTCTGCTGTACGGCTATACACATCGAGTTTTTATTTTCAAGTATTATAACCTACTGAAATTATAGTTAGTTTAAGATAATGATTCGATAGAATGAAAAAGAGACTTCGACGTAGCAAGCACATATCGTTGTGGTCGCCGTTCTATACCGCTCGTGTTTACACCTTTCTCGAATATTTACGACGCGCACCGGACCATCGGTGACGGGCGTCTGCTCGCTAACACACACACACACACACACACACAGACACACATCAATATACGATACGCTACACGCGTAAAACCGAGTATGAACGTACTCGGAAATCGTACTTTCAAGAAGCTTCGTAAAAGTAATCTAATTAAAAAAAATCACTAGCACAATCATCTTCCAATTGAAATTCATGCTTTGCTCCTTAAAAAATGATTGTTTTATATTAATGTTTGACTAGATTTCCTTGAGAATAGTGGAATCCTTGACGTGTCTAACAAATAGTAGTATTGAGTTCTTTAATTTATTTCAATTCTTCATTAGTAAAATTATGATCTATTGTAATTCATAAGAAATTATTGATTTTCGTAAAATGATATTGAGCAAGATAATATTCTTCTTATCTCAATAATGTAACAAGTTTTAATGTAATGTAAAAAGCGTGAAAACGTCCGAATGTAATTCAACTTTTTATTAAAGAAACTTTTTAAAAATGTGAATTGGTTCTAATGAAAAATGTTATACAGTGAACTACAATCAGAATGAATGATATTCACGCTCATTGTCTTATTTACATGGGATATTCATTTAACATTCAAAATTATAATCTGTTTGACCAATAAAATGTCGTTCAAATTATTTTCAAGTCATAATTATTTCATTGTATATACTAAGATAAACAAAGCTCGGAATAATGAATTTATAATTTCTAATAAGAATTTCTGAAATAAGAAGATGGTTTAAATACAATTTTAATTTATTGTTACCAGAGTGTTGCTTGTCGTTAATCTTTTCCAAATCCCCACCATGCATTTTCTGGCATTGTTTATAGTTGTAACATTTCGATTATTCCTCTGATACTCAATTTGCTGCTTTCAAATATACTAAATTCTAATATTATAGTGAGAAAACGCATTATGCATTGCATAATTTAATTTAAATTAAGAAGACATTCATTTAAAAAACTCCTATGAAAAGATTTTTTTGTATTTGTTTGCATAAAATATATTAAAACATTGCTCCCTCTTTTAATAATAATTATATACTTAAACATAAACATAAATTCGATAGCTTGATAGTATAACGATATATTTATCATCAATTTTCAAAGACATAATTTTTCCAGTCCTTTCAAGCATAACTATGGCATTACAGAATAAAATAAAAATATTGGATAACATCATTAGCCAAAGTTTTGAATTATTTTACTATAGGTGGAAAATCGAGTAATTTTTATCGAGTAATTAAAGAAGTTAACCAGCTTCATACCTATTTACTCACCTGACTTGAATGTTTTATTTTGGAACAATTTATTTTCAGCGAAGACAATTGGGGATATTAAGACTGAGGCTTGCACCACAAAGCCATCAGCAACTGTTTATTTGGTTTAATAACTTGTTCACGATTTATCATACTATATGTAATAATTTTATTTGAGAGAGAAAGAGACTAAATTGCAAATTTATTATCCTAATATTTTATTAGCGAAAATGTAGCAGATTAGAAGATGAAATAATAAATCAAAATACTGATAAGAGTATATGATTATTTAAAAATTTATTGAGTTGAATCAAACTGGCCGCAGCGTAGTGAAATTTGAAATGATGAACACATACAGTCTTCTAAAGTTCTTTCAATATACTAATATATGAAACTTCACATTTGTTTATGTTGCACAAGTATTATAAGTTTAAACATTTATTTAATATTATAAATTGTAATTATTGATCATTTAAACTGGAAATAAAAACTAGACTAATAAACTTATGAAATTCTTTCAAAGAAATATTACTATCAAATTCAATGAATTTATTCGAAGTTTTACTTTGAGAAAAACATGTTAACAGTAATTACCATGTAACATAAATGCAGTAGTTTTTGAATCCGAAAAAAACCCAATTCACCTCTCTTCCTTGAAGCAGATGATTTTTGAAAACTCGAAATTTTCAAAAAATTACATTGGAAGCATTGAAACTTATATGATGGGTAAAGTAGCAAAATCGAACAAGCAATACTTAGCCGGAATAGCTTGAGATTTCATGCATTACGTCAAAATGGGTTTTGACGCGCTCGATGACTCAGTGCGGGGAAAAAACGTCACTCGCCGGTATAGGTAGTATTATGTTTTTACTTTGCGAGCATCGTGTGCGAAGCAGACAGTCGTCGTGAATCACTGCTCTAGAGTGGGTGCACGATAAAAGTATCTGCTTGCAGCTGGTTGTTGAATTGAAGCAAAAACTGCAAAATTTAACAGTCGATTTACAACATTTTTATAATAAATCCTACATTTTATAGTCAGTGAAGGTCTCGAAAAGTTTTAATTATTATATCTTACAAAAAGTGACAGTGAAAAATACAAAATGTCGCATAGTCCTCTGGTAGAGAGTATAGAAGAAAAACAAAGTCGATTCATCGAATTGTTTATAGAGCAACGTGATTGGACTGAAGAGGATGTACTGGCATTTGTCGCAGTTGAATTTGATGGCAATGCCGAGGATATCAACTGGGTTATAAGGACAGCTTTAGAAAGATTACCTCATCATGAAATAATCATCGAAATACTGATGAAAAATGGCACCGAGCTGCAAGTACTCAATGACTTGGGTCAAACAGCAATACATATTGCAGCTATAAACGGAAAGGACTATGCCATTCAAAAGTTATTAAAACATTCTAGATACGAAAATGTCAGTGACAACGAGGGACTCACGTATTTTCACATAGCATGTATGTATGGCTGTCGCGAATCGGTCCAGCAATTCATTGATGAAGGCGTAGATATCAATCTTCCTTACTACAAAGATGGATGTAAAGAAACCCCATTGTCATTATGCATTAAAAGCGAATATACAAAGAATACATTAGAATTACTACTAGACAATGGCGCTGATTATAAATTGTTAGATGGCTGGGATGAGGACCCCTTAAAGTATCTCAAACGTTTCAGTCGAGATTACAGATCTAGTCCCATACATACGTTGAAAGTACTTGCTGATCATTATTTCGAGGAACTTTTAAAATTTGCAAATCATTCGGAGGTAATCGAAAATCGCAGAGACAGCGAAGGATTCACGTACTTACATGCAGCTTGCATGTCCGGCAATGCGAAGATGGTGCAGAAATTCATAGACCAGAAAGACGATCTTGATCTTGTTTGGCGTTTATCAAGTGGCACTCATGAAACACCAAATCGAAATAGTAGAAATGCTCTTGAAAAATGGCGCTAGTCCAAACTTGAAATTGTTGGGGAAAAATCCGTTGCACGTTTTTTTCGCGTATCATCGGGGTACCCCTGCGAATTTGGGTCTCTTTGAACTTCTTATTAGTTACAACTGCGACGTAAATGAAAAAGACCGTGATGGCCAGAGTCCGTTGTACCTTTGCTTCGGAAAATGTGAACAAGCAGCTATGGGTATTTGCTCATGCTGCACGGAGGATGGATTAGAATACGAAATAATTGAGGAATTAAACAGTAATCGTAAATATGTAGAAATTCTGCTTAAAAATAAAGCCGACGTTAACGAAGTATTTTCATATGGGCGATCAATACTTCACTCGATTATTGATTCTGACATATGTAAATCGGATCAGAAGACCCATGACGGTTACGTCTATAAAAACTCAGTGGGTATCAAATTTGTCAAAACAATTGTAAAATATGGAGCCGATGTCAATGCCAAAGATGATAATGGAGATTCACCTCTTCACTTAGCTGTATTAAACAATAATTTGCATGTGGTTAAGGCCCTATTAAAACGCGGAGCCGATGTACAAAGTGTTGACTTTTCGAAGTTTTATTGGGAATATGAATCATCCTACCTATGGTTTGACGAAATAATAACTTTTCTTTTAATCCTAAATAGTTTGATTGAAAAAGGATATAAAATGAATGAATCAAGCTGTTTGACAGTATTGACAATTTTGGTCGATAAAGTTATGCTTAGTATACCCAGCGATGCACGGAACGATAGTCTACTCGTTGGTAAGATTCAATGAATTAAACTGTACGATTCGTATAACTAATGCAGTTCGTATTTTCACAGGTTCTCCGACGCAACTTCGTACGTTTCTGGCTCGTGTCAAAAATAGTGATGATGGTGCTGATCAGTTTGGGAGTTATCAAAAAGATCTTTTGGCTCAGGTGGTTCATCGACATCTTCAATTTGTTGAAAAAGGGAATGCATTCATGACTGCGGAGGTAAAGGATTGCCTGCAACAACTGCAAACAATATTCAAGCTCGAAGAGGAATTAGTTATTAAATATAATGCTGAAATTTTGGTGCAAATTGAAAAATTAAAAAAAATAAGGATAAAAGATGATGTATCTCTTTTGGACGTTTGTGCATCTGGTCCCATAAAAAGATACCATTTTTTGAAAAATTCAGAATTTTGGACAATATTTAACTCAAAGAGATTCGAAAAAAATTTTCATCATTTATCTGAAACCATTAAACCGTACATAATTATTTGTTTCATGAGAAAACTTTTCATGGACATTGGATTAAAATACTTGATGTTATTGACGCAGGGTAAACTCCCTACATTATGCTGCGAAAACTTAGTACAATACTTAAGCAATGAAGATATATTGTACCTATTTCGAATATATACGAATAAAATTTGATATCGTTTGAAATTTGATATATTGCATTGAATTTTTTTCAAGAACATTTGGCCTAGAGCGAAAATTGTATGTTGACGACTGAAAATTACAATTAATTTGCTGAACTGTTATAAATGCATACGAAATTACATGCTCCATTCTAAACTAAACCTACTCCATTCATAGCTCCTAAGAAGGCGTGAAAACAAACTCTCGGCTGATCGTTGCTTAAATAGTTGTAAGTAATTAAGTAGCAAAAAATAAAATACCGCCACGACAGTAAACAAAGGCGTAATGATAGTTGATAGCCAGCAAAGTTCAGATAGGCACCATCATTTTGAAACAATTTTTATTAAATTTTTGGAAAAATATCTGTATAAACAATACATATTTGCGATATATCCTCGTGATTTGTTTTTGGTATCTTCTCAAAATCCTTTGATATCCAAATTTTTTCTCATAAATATAGCATGAGTAATCTTTGTGAGCTTCATGGACTTTTCTTCTATTTAGTACTTCGGAAATTGAATAAGCGAAATGAGTATTTTTAAATTATAGCTTGATTTTAAAACTAATTTGATTTTACTATAAACATAATCAATGCTCGAAGATAATGCCAAAATCGTTTAAGATCATATTGTTTACACTTAAGTTACCGATTCATTCATATATTGTCCTTAATTATTTAAGCAATTTTTAAATTCAAACTTGTAATATTTTTTTTTATCAAGGACAGCTTTACCTCCCCACGTATTAAAGTGATTAGTGGTCACCAGTGGGCGAAAATAAAATAAACGTCTCTCTCATTTTTTCTCTGTATCTCATTATCTCTCAGTTCTGAGAGGGAACAAGAAATGATTAGGAATGCATCCAAATTATATTAGTACTATAAAAAGTACTTTTCACTGACGGGAGTGAATTTTTCTAGATGATCGATCTTTTAGTTTGGTAGGGGAAGGTGAAGAAGGTGAGAAATAACAAGTCCAAGTTTTTTCCGTTTTCTTTTTTTTTAAACGTAATTATTTTTTGTAACGTAGTGTTTTTTTTACTAGATGTGGTTTATTTTTTTGGGGCATGAGTTTGAATACGTTTTTAGTTAAGAATTCATGAATTTTTTAAAAAATTCAATGTTTTTTTTGTATTTGTAAATAAAATTCTTTTCGATTTTTTTGAAATCAATCTTATTTTTACTTGACTGTGTATTTAAATCTCGACTAAATGAGTTGTGTTTTCTGAAGCATTGCTTGCAAATTAGCAATATTTGAAGTAAGGCCACTTAAAAAAATATTGATTTTCTTGTTTAATGGTAGCTGGTAAAATTCTTGAAGAATTTGACAATAATCGCTATGATGATTGCTATTTATACCTTACAATAACCAAATATTAAATTTCTGTATATCGAAATATTTTTCTAACCATTGGACACAGCGAGTTGGTAAGTTGTGCTACATTCAAAAATACTCCGTACTTACGAGCGCTTTCTTTGATCAACCGTATATACGTCCTTTCATAGATAATTCACATGGGTTGTATGAATAAAATTCTAATATTCTTTGTATGAATTTAATTTTCAGTCTTTGAATTTTACATCATTTCATTGTTCATCTCGTTCAAAACGATCGTTTCACCTTCACAATTAAAAAAGTAAACAATTCGATAAAAATAATTTTTTTCACTCAGCTATTGCGTTAAATGGTATAATTATCCGATAAAATCTCGGTTGATGTTAATATTCATTATGGCAAAGTCAATGAAATCCCTCGTATTGGTAGCTGGTCGCACAATCAAATTGAATTTCGATACTTGTAAGATGATTACTTTTTGCTTCACTAAAAATCGTAATCAGATAAATTTATTTTATAGGTAATAAAAAGAACGATTTCGTACGTGGCAACTTTCAGATCAGTATATACTTCTTTGCAATGTACATATAATAAAAAACTCGATTTCAATAAAGTTATAGTGATTTTATTCAGATTGAAGCTTTTTAAAATACGAGCTTACTAATTTTTTTTCCATTTTTATAATTTATTATGAATTTATCTTTTACATGTTCGTGAAAAGTTAGTTTATGATTCAGAAATTTTCATGAGATATTAATAGTTGACGTTGTAAAAAAGCTTCGAAAATTGTTTCACGTTCCTCCTGTTTATTTATAACACATATGATCATATTTTATTTGCGCACGCATGAATTAAATTATGAATCAAACCAATGGCGGGTTATGGAGCGCACAAATCATGCCATGGCGTTGGGGTAGCAAGTTTGGAAAGACTATTAAAATTTTTTATAAAATGACTCGATGTCCTAAATAAAAAAAAATATTTCTTAATGTCGCAGGGAGATTTCTTAAGTACTTAATTTTAGAGGACCAAAAATATCTTAGTAATCATCACCAAGTTTGAATTTTAAACTGGTTCAAATATTGTAAAGACAATAAATGAATCGGTAACTTAATTCTAAACAATATATTCTTGAACGATTTTGACATCGTTTCTCGAACACTCATCATGTTTATAGTAAAATTATTTAGCAAATTTGTTTGAACATCTAGTTTCGATACCAAAAGAAAAATTTCACTTACTTAATTTCCGTGCTACTAAATAAAATAATCCATCGTTTATTTTAAGTTCCAAAATCGATAAAAGTGAGAAGAAATCTGAATAAGTTGTCTCGGAAAATAATTTAATTGAACACGACATCGTTGTTTCGGGCGACAAAAAATGCGATTGTGATATTTGTCAGAAGACATTTACACTAGAATCAAATACGATGGCACACCGAGATACAATTCACTATTCAAAACTTTTTTCATGTGATATATGTGAGAAGAAATTTGAATTCCGAAGTCATTCGAATAGACACCAAGTGTCAGAACACAAAGGCTACAACAGTTTTGCATGCGACCAGTGCGAAAAGAAATTTGTGAAAAAATCAAGTTTATTTACTCATCAAAAATTGGTCCACAAAAATAGCAAAGATTTCACTTGCAACAAGTGCGAGAAAAAATTTGAAAACAAATCCACTTTACTTAGGCACAAGAAAATATTCCACGAAGTTTTCAGAAATTACTTGTGTGAATTGTGTGCGAAAAAAATTCGATACTAAACATAACTTTCTCTTGCACATAAAGTCAGTACACGGCAAGTGTGAAAAGAAATTTGAACGCAATGGCTGTAAAAATTTTGCCTGTAATAAATGCGAGAAGAAATTTGGACAAAAATGGACTTTGATCAGACACCAAAAAACAGTCCATGATGGTCGTAAAGATTACGCATGTGATAAGTGTGAGAAAAAATTTACCCAAAATCAGCATTTGTTTTTCCACCAAAAGATACAACACGAAAATCGCAAAGATTTTGCATGCAACAAATGCGAGCAGAAATTTGGATTTAAATGTGCTTTGATCTCGCACATGAAAACAGTCCACGACGGCCGCAAAGACTACGCATGCGACAAATGCGAAAAGAAGTTTGGATACAAAATAAATTTGCTAAGACACCTAAAGACAGTCCATGAAGGTAGCAAAGACTACGAATGTGACAAGTGTGGGAGGAAATTTGGACAAAAATCGACTTTGCACTCGCACCAAATCGCCATACACGCAGTTAACACAAATGTCCAATGCGAAAAATGCGAGAAGAAATTTGGACAAACAGGACATTTGCTCCTCCACCAAAAGGTTGTCCACGAGGGCTGCAAAGACTACTCATGTGACGAATGCGAAAAAAAATTCGGATATAAATATAATTTGCTCTTGCACATAAGAACAGTCCATGAAGGTCGGAAAGATTTCGCATGCGACGGGTGCGAGAAGAAATTTGGACAAAAATCGACTTTGGTATTACACCGAAAGACGATTCACGAGGGTCACAAAGATTTTGCATGCGATGTGTGCGAGAGAAAATTTCCTCAAAAAACGCATTTGATTCGCCATCAAAAGATAGTACACGAAGATCACAGAGATTACATATGCGACAATTGTGAGAAGAAATTTGGGGAAAAATCGCATTTGCTTCGACACCAAAAGACAGTCCATAAAGATCACAAAGATTTTACATGCCACAAATGCGAGACGAAGTTTGTGGATCAAAGCAACTTGAGAAGACACCAAAAAACAGTTCACGGGAGTCACAAAGGGACAGTTGCAAGAAAAAAATGATTGACAATTGTTAATATTTATAAATTACTTATGCAGATATTTTTCTAAACTTTTAATAAAAATTGTACTAAAACGATTGTGCACATCTGAATTTCACATGCTATCAACTATCACTCCACCTTTGTTCATTGTCATGGTGGTGCTTCATTTTTAAAATTTCACATAGCACAATAATTACTACTGAAAACGACTTATCATAATTTGATTTGAATTCAAGCCAATGTTCATAATAAATCAATTATAATGTTTTTAAATCATTCATTCTTAAAGCATAGCTAAGCAGGTAGAGAGTTAGACTATAAATTGGAGAACCTCTGGATTCACACTCGATCTTCAAAAAATAATTACAACTTTTTTGTCCATTTCTCTTCAAAATGATAATTGGTAAATCTCATATAATCCAATGATCTTCTATTCACGATTTAATTTGCTGGATGATAATATTCTAATAAATTCAAATAAACATAACATTGATCATACTTTAATGTAAAATCTTATTATAATTTCTAGTCAACCAATATTATTCAAAGATCTTTTGCTCGTCAAATTTGTATTCACTTATAATTTCTTATAAAACTGATTTTTCTCCTTCTTTCATTATGTATAAAACTAATTAATACCGATTAAAACACAAATTTGTATTTGCCTCAGTTTCATTTGTCATAATGGGGTTTGCAGGTGCAGAAACTTGAAAAATACTGTGAAAATCAATTTCTATCGGTTTTTATTGATTTCTAAGAAAAAAAATATGAAAAGTTGTGTTGAATAGTCCTGAATATTGTAA